AGACAGAAAAGTGGGAAATGGGAGAAAAAGTGGAATTACCCTACCTAGTAGCAGAAGTCATGGACAAAACAAACAGTTAGGGAAGACGAGAACATAGGAACTGTGAAACAGCACATGGATTCCAATATAGGAGAAACACAGGGCACGGAGGACTATAAAGGGAATATGGACAAAATAACAAAGACAACATTGGAGAGTGTAAGAACGAGGCAAACATAGTAAATCTGAATGTACAAGATAGTGCATCTCAATAGCTGGCAATAGAGAAAACTGTCAGTCTCCTATTTAAAAGCCAAATGAAAAATGCAGTCAGTTGTGGGAGTGAAAGATGAAATCCTCAGTGGAATTACCATCAGCAGAAAGCATACCATTTATGCTGATAAACTGCCAAGGAGGAAGGATGTACAAGGTGAGCAATCAATGAAGCAACACACCTGGAAAATCTGGATTGTCTGGTTAGGGACCAGACCAAAGCCACTTGTAAAGCTGGAGAGTGGGAATGGACAGATGATGCATGTCTGATTAGGTTGACAAAGGAGCATGGGAGACAATGGCAAAGGAAGGAGAGGAGACCACAGAGTGGTCTGAAACAATGAAAGGACCCTGGGAAGAAGATGAATAGGAGGATATGCATGCAAGTAATATCCCTTCAAGTTTTGACTGAGAACATCTACAGCTACCACTAAAGGATGAGGAACAACAGACCAAAAGTGTGGAAGTTGTGCACTGAGTGGCAAAAGCATCCACAGCTGGAAACACAACTCCTGAAACACCCACAGAACAAACGACCACTCTGTCGGGAGAATCTTGTTGTGCCAAGATAATCGATCTATGACTAGATTTAGGACACCTACAATATGACATGTGAACATTTTTCGTTGTATAATTGCCATCACGTCCTCGGCCCGATAATTGGAGAACTCAATCTGGTAGTATTAGTCGAGAACCCGTAGCAGCAGTAACAGTTGTGGTAGGTGTAACTACCTGAAACTGCGAGTGTACAGTGACATGTCCAGATCTGAGGTAAAAAAAAAAAAAGGAAAAAGTACAGAAAGTTGGAAAAAACAACCTTTCACAATTCAAAAACACGAAAAAGTAAAGAAATATTAATGATTGTTTGTTTGTTTGTAGTTAAGCACAAAGCTACCCAAACGGCTATCTGTGCTCTGCTCACCATGGGTATCAAAATATTAATGAAAAATGAAGTCGATATATAAAGGAAAATGTTGCCAAATTTGCAAGGAAAACAAGCGCGTCTGTACAATGCTACTGCCAATTGAAAAGTCATTAATGAGTGCAAATGTGGAGAGGGCGCAGGTTACGATATGGGTTGCGTCGCACTCCTATTAGTGAAAAGCTGCTGTATATTCATTTACACATGGATATGCAAAAGCGGGAGGTGGAAGGCTAGTGGTGAGCGATGAAAATTCATGCCGATAGAGGGCCAGTACTGATCGAGAAAAGCTATTTTGTAAGGAGGTAAGATATTATATTTAACATATGATTAACTCTCTCACTGTTGGTGGGTCAAAGTGTGCATTTCACAACCTTTTACAGAATTACATTCACAATTTAATTAAACTACTTTATTATCAAAGTACATGAATAAACTTGGAATCACAACATAGTTAACCCATGGCAACGTTTAACTGGTGTTCATATTGTTGTATTTATTTAGAAATAATCAGTTACTGGCTGAGGCCATTACTGAATTTCTGCAGAGTAAGAGAAACTGAAAAAAAAAAAAAAGAAGCTTTTATGGTAACTAATAAACCAATCAAATACAAACACAAGAATCTAATATTACTTTTTTGATACTATTGGCTGCATATTAATTTCTGAAGGGAAAAAAAAAAAAAAGGAGAGGGTTTGTATCCCCTAGATCTATGCCTGTAAAGTTATTAATATCTGAAAAAATTAAAAATAAAATAATAATAGTGGAAGAGGTGGGGGATTTTAACCTCCTAGGACCCGTACCCTAAATTTTCACCAACTTGCAGAATATTAAATAATACAGTTATTAATTTATGGAACAAAAATGTATGAAGGGGTCTGGTCTTTCTGGATCCCTCCCCAGATCTGTTTATACAACATTAAAGAATACAGTAAATCAATTATAAACATAAAATAGTGTAAAAAAACAACAACCAACAGTAAATTTAAACTTTATTTAACACTACAACACCAGCGTGGTTAAGTTTAGTATACAGGTTTAACGTTGGTGTTCTAGGGTTAATACTTAAGTAGCCAGAGTTAATGGTGGATGCTACCAGCCAGTAGCCTTCCCTCTAGTCAGCAGTTTAAATTAACAACAGTAGTTTTGCCTTAGCGGTCTTGCAATAACAACAACAAGAAAAATTTAGTATCAACAGAAATCAAACCCAAAGATGACCCTCAATTTATAAAGCATCCAAGTTGCCATCCATTCAACTAAGTTTCATCATGAATACTCTGCCTAAACAATCTATTAAAGAATAAAAGGATAACTTTGCTATAGAAAGGATATCATTTGTTGCAGATTTCAGTGTTTAAAGCTTGATGTTATTTTTACTTTGTAAGAATTTGATTTGGCTTTAACTATTTTTATGTATGTTTGGAAATTCTGAATAATTTCAAATGCTCTATATGCAAAAGGTGCATACATATGAGACATCTTTGATAAGGCATTACATTGATTTAAGCATTGCTTCTAAATCTCAATCAGAGGCATTGAAAGGAGTACAAAGAGTCCCATGGACTGTGTGGAGATCGCAAAACCCAAGGTTGATTAAAGGAGGGTCCAAATTTGTACTTTTTAACTTTGATTCTAAGTTCTCATCAAATGAGTCATTAAAATTTGGACCATCCATCCTTATTTGCAAAAGATGACTAATATTAAACTCTTTTGTCAGCTGTAATAAATGGCTTAAGAGATCATCAGCTTGTGAGTGATCAAGAAATGCAGAATCAAGAAATCTAGTTATCACAAGATTTTTTTCTGAGTTAAAGTACCAAAGGTACAGATCAAGCTGGTCCTTTTGGTTTTCATCATTTTATCATTGTACAAGAGCACAAAGTCTGTATCTTTTCCAAGCTTTTGATACACATTTGACTTGATATATAGGGCTATTCAAAAATAAGTCACATATGTATATGTTTTCCCTCCATAAAAAAACCTGGATATGATTTTACTATCTGGGAACATCTTTTTAAACAGTTCATTTACGTTTTTGCAGCTGTTGTAACTGTGCCAGCTAACAATGGTCTTCAGGATCCACAAAACCTCAGCTTTCCCCTCATCTTGTTTTGAAACATATGAATCCATTTTGCTTGGTAATGAATAAATTATGTAGTGAGAAGCTGACACCTAGATGAAAAGAAGTGTCATTCAAAGGCTAATTGCAAATCAATGCAACTTTATTAAGCTATCTTGTGCATTTAAATCAATGAAATTTGGCCCATTCTCTTTAGTGTTAAATTTAATTTAGGAATATTATTCACTTACTTGCTGGACTAAGGTTTCGTGTTGATTTGACCCAACAGTAGGCCTAGCTTTTGATGCTCTTAACTGACATCTACCTAGATTCAGACAATATCATACTGTGTGTGTGGTCAGCCTGGCTGCTACTGACGAGTGCAATTTATGCACGTTAGCCTTGTGCTTTTTCCCTTTCATATGGTTTATCACTGCAAACTCGCCCATATTGCCAACATCGAAATTTTTATGGCCCATATTGCAACAAGCTTCTTGGTGGCATGCACCTATAACAAGCCATTCCTTGTACTCATTCTTCAGAAGCCATTCTTTGTTAAATATACATTTGCCAGGCAAGTTTTATGCAAGTACACATTCAAGTTAATACCACTGACCATAAAAATAATGATGGAAAAGCAGATGAATCACAATTACATAATTACTTGAATAGCAAAGAACAGATATCAATGGCATTGTTTAACCTTGTACCACCAAAATAATTCAAGTTGCTATTCACACAAACACATGTGCAGAGCATGCTCGTCACTAAGGGAAAACATGAAGGGTTCACTCGCAAAATCTTTATCACCAGATATTATATGATGTAATCATCAAATAAATTCTCATTTTTTTCAAAACTTTCCAAGACTTTTATAAACCCATAAGAACCCTGTACTTATGAACTTTAAAGAATAATGGAAATAATGTTATAACTGTGGATAATAAGCCTAGAATTACTAAAAATGTCCATATTGATTTTCACACATTTTTCTACACCTTTTATTCACCAGTTGCTTGTGTGTCTATAAGTTTGTTATAAGCTACAGGATCCTTAAAGACATACGAGTCACAGAAAAATATGTAAATAAAATACAATCAATATTGCAATTAATCTCACTAAATACGGATGGGATTTCAAATATTTCAGTTTAACAAGAATGTGGCATACAACAATCCCAAAAGTTGCAAACAAAAAGCTAAACCTTGCTACTCACTATTTCATAAAACTCAGTTTAATTTACATTTTTTATTCCATTTAGACACTTTCCAGTGTTTTGTTGTATTTCCAAGCAGTACAACCTTATTGTCAGTTTGCATACCTAAAAAATGCAGATTGTGACTAACTGTAATAGCTATATACATTTAATAAATTTCTTTACTAATACTACTGATAAACATACTGAATTTTGTTTTTATACAAATGTTGATGCAAGAAATTATTACAGGTATGTTACCAGTTTATAATAGTTAAGGTTTGTGTCAGAATTTTTGTGCAAAGCTACAAAAAGAGTTATCTGCTATCCCATATTTTGAACTGATACTAGGAAAATAGTCAATAGCACCCACTGCCAACATTTGGGCTATGTTTGTCAGACAAAACAGTAGGATTTGACCACTACTCTTATAGTACATACTCAGCTCCAAAGTGTGGAGCACATTTTTGTGGCAACAGGTTGCAAACCACGAGTCTTCAACTTTGCAGTCCAAGGAAACTAACCACCAGGTCATGTTTGGCCCAATAAGACATACTGATAACACAACAAACCTTTCTTCACTTCCTCTGGTCTTTTTGCAGTGAACTGTTCTGTCTTTCTTACTGACTGCTGCTTTTCTGTTTGTTTTTCTAAATAATTGATAAGCATTGATCTGAAATACAAATATATTGATGAGTTTTAAGTGCTAATATTTACGTTCAAAATTTTATTTTAAGGTCACTTCAGTTTGAGAGAAGTTTTCAAAATTGTTAATTCAAATTGACTACAGCAGTATTATGGAATAATGAGAAAGGAATAACTATTTACTCAAATGATGGATGAATACAAACATGGATAGTAGAACTATGTTCAGATGAAAGATGGATAAAAAAAAAAAGATATGAATGGAATCTGCTAAAAATATGGATGAGGTAACCAAATCGTGCCGAACATGATATAAAGATGGACAAATAATGTATGATTTGGATAGTTACATTTACCTAAAGATGGATAAATAAAATAAGCATGGGATATACATGCAAGGCTAAAAGATGGATGAATAAAGATACAACTACATTAATTCGAAGACAGATGAAATAGTTATGCATAAAATGACAATGCTAAATTGAAACAGAGAAAAACAATTTTACAAAAGTAAAATATATTATATTTTATATGTCGGTATTCTCATTCCACTCAACTTACATCATAGAATACAATTTTGACACATAAACAGTCAGTATATGTGGGAAGTGACATTCTTACCTGGAGAAAGAAAGAAGCTTTTCATATACTTCTTTCTCTTTTGTAGTCAGATGTAACATGATAGTTTTTGTTTTCTTTGGTGGCAGCTCTACCTGTAGATGAAATATTTATTATAATAGTTAATAAACAATAATATCCTATGCCAGACTACATCTAATACAATTTCAATTATAACATTTACATTAATGATGTTTCACATTTTTTTCATACAAGAGTTACACACACACACATTCTCCAAAATTATAAAAATGTTTTTTGTAAACAAACTTAAATGCACAAAAATCTCTAAAACTATCCACTGTCAGCCCATACAATATTAGAATCTGTGGATTTTTACTTTACAAGAGTATGCACAGAGAAAAATTTATTTCGTATGTTAGGAAAACATGTAGGTTCAAGAAATAATGAAATAATAAAAATGCCATACCTCATAAACAACATTAAAATGAAAAAAATGTAAAACAATTTGACAGTAAACATTACATAAGAGCTTTTTAAGATATACAGGAGATGAAAAGTGCATGTGTTGGATTATCGTATGTCAATCTTACATGAAAATATGTACTGATCTGTCAGATCACTACTTTAAGGAAAGATGGTGATCCTTGATTATGATAATTGGTTTGAGATCACAGTACCGATAATAATTTTGGAAAAATATTTATTTTTTCCAATCAGGCTACCAACCTAGATAAGATGATATAGGATTATCATCCAAAAAGAGCTGCAATGTTTTCATTTATTCATTGATCTAAATGAAATGATAATACTGCTGACCCTTCAATGTTCTTGATGAAACTAGAAAAATTAGAAGAGCAAAAGATTTTGTAATCACATCCCAAACCAATACAGAGCAACATGAATTGTTATGGTCATGAAAGAAAACCTCCCTAACCAAATAAAGACATTACAAAGCAGCCAAACACATTTCCTGGTACTACTAACATAGTAATAAACAAGAATTTGAAGTTGACAAAAGTTCAAAAGTTTTAGGATGCCTCAAACTCAATGACTGTTTTCATGAAAAAAAGATGTTCCAAAAAACTCTAAACGTAGTAATCGTGTTCAATTACATACCTGTTAAATCCCAAGGGTGCAGGGAAAGTTTGTAAAGATATGAGTTTTAAGAATGACCTTGCTATCCTTTGCAGAAGTTTGTTATAATGGAAACTGCAGCATTGGGCGATTGGTATAACCATTATGATCAAACTGAACACAAATGATAGCAGAGGAAGTAGTTTTAAGGGTAGCATAGGGATTTGGAACATTATTCGTATAAAGTGTAAATATTCTTGAATAGAAGGAATTTATTGAAAACAGTACAAAATTTATGTTAAAGAGGTTGAAAAGTTTAGGTGACAAAAAAATGTGTGTTTAAATGGGTTAAAAGTTTAAGAGTCTATTAAGCACTACATTAAAAAAAAGGCTTAGAAGCCTGAAGATATACTTTAATAGATGTTTAGAAAATTACAAGTCTATGAATGTAAATTCAAATGGTTAAATTTAGAAGCTTATTTTTCAAACTTAAAAGTATTCAGAAGCTTAGGAAATTAATGGACAATGTTGAAAAACTGATTAGGTTACAACAAAATTTAAATGTTATAAAAACTAGATTAGAAAATTAAAGTCTAAGAGCCTAAGATAATAAGCTTAAAAATTGTTCAGAATCTTGAGTTCAAAAGGAATTAAGTTAAAAAAGTTCAGCATTTAGAAGTCTAAGGAATTAGACTATAATCCTTCACACATTTTGTTAGGAGAGTATTGGCACAATTTTCCAAAGATTCAGAAATTTACGATTCAGCAGTATACGAGCACAATGAAACAGGTCAGAAAGGTTCAGAAATTGAAAAGCCTGAAGTTCAACCTTAAACAGGTTCAAATATTTAGCAACCCAAGGCTCTGGGTTACCAGGGAATAGAAAATGAGGTATGGGATACCGCTTAGAGACCAGAAGCACTGCACTGATAATTTTTAGTTTTTTAATAGCTCATGGTATCATACTAATAATGTAGTCTGCTTTCATCAGAATCCTGATAGGATTGATAGACTTAAAAAAATCTTTAAAAAATTGACTGAAACAACCTACTTGTAGTGTGTTCTACAAGTTAAACTAATAACTTGCTAATTAAAGCTTTACTTTATCCAAGTATTAAAACAGACAACCTCAAAACAATAAAAATCCCAAATAAAGAATTTATATTCAATCTTGCTCTGGTATATCATTTAAACTTTAAAACAAATATATATAAAAAAAATGATTCTAATTGATGTATTTCTTTACCAATTTCAACACTAGACCTACAGAGTATATAAGAGATAAACTAATTCATAATCTATGTATATAATAGCCAAATGTCTATCACAATCTGCATCTCCTGAATGGTTAAATGTATAAAAAAATTATTTATCAAAATGCTTATTTTCAAGAATACATTACAAGAAAATTACTCATTTTTGGAATTCCTAAATTTCTTACCAATATCAACATTGATCCATAAGACTTTGTTTATGCTGAACAGTCAATCTGAGAAAAAATTATTAGTTCTTCCAGCATGGGCTTTGTCCCTGGGACTGACCTCATAACCATTTTTGTTGGTTATAGTTTTCATGCTATAACCTTTAAATTAGTATGTGTGTGTTCACAAAATTTGGCATATTATCAGTAAACATTACAAGGCTTTCATATGCAAAATATCAGATTTTTTTTATTAAATCTTAAGATTTGTTAAGCAATGTTTTTCTAATGCCTTTTTTCTTTTTTGCATATTGCCTATCTAACATGCAAAGTAATTTTCATTTTAAGATTAAAAATACTTTTATGCATCAGAAAATTTTCAAATTTCAAATGCAAAATCTTTATAATGTCCAGATAGTTATCAAATGTTTCTAAGATAAAACTATATTTTATCTATTATTTACACTAACAAATCTCTGTATGGATTTGGTCAATTTGACAGATCTCGTAACCATCATAAAAAATTAGGAAATAAATATAAATTATGCCTTTTTCATGCTAGAATGACTACAAATTATAACACAAATGTTTAGACTAAATAAGTTGAATCTCATAAAATTATACATTCGTATATATATTTATCATATTGACCTTTCAGTCGTGCCAAGCTAACATTAACAATACAGAAGTTACAATGATCCGTCTCACATGCACTCATGTTACCGTATCAAATAACAATAAATTGACATTTGGTCTTTGCAAAGTAACCTGTCTTGGCTGTGGTTTAGTAGAGTAGTAATTTGTAAAATACAGTCACATTTCAATTATTATAGATTATAAATGTATATATAGATTATTGTTCTTTAGAAATAAGTTGTTAAACTTATTTTTCTTAAAACATAAAACAGTAAATAAAAAAATAAAGCAAACAATAATAATTATCTCTTCTAGTTACAACCGTTGTACTCAGTTGCTTTAAAAATGTTGCAAATGGAGGATATGAAATGAAGTAATTTTTTTTAGGTTTTTTATATATATATTTGAATAACTAAAAAAAATCATAAATTACTACATCAATACCACAGAATTCCACTATAATTTATCAAGCTTAGTAACTAAGCAGTATTTTAGTCTAAAAATATATGCAATTTTAAGCAAACTAAAGACAAACTACCTCCTTGAAATCTTGGTTCAAAAGAAAGAGATGGTGTCCTAAGAATTTAAAATGGCCAAGAAAGCCACTAGGGGGACATTTTGAGCTTCTGACTGTTTATTCATGTCATATATATGGAAGTGTATATAAGGGAGATTTTCCAAAAATGGAAAGAAGTGGGTGGGGTGCCACTGTGTTTGATATATTACATGAGCAATATCTTAGCAAATAGAAAAAATAAGAGGTTCTTATTTTATATTCTAGCTTGTTAATATCAGTAATTTGAGTTCCAAATTCATACAAAACTACAGACTTTGTATTTTGACATCTAATTTGAACCAGTGCTGCATTAAACATACCATGTGACACACAAAAATCGATGTAAAGAAACTAAACAATGTATACTACTAAAATTTGAATCATATATATAATCTACAGTTTGATACCAAACTTACTGACATAAATTCATTAAATAGTAGTTCAATAAAATTCTGAATGCGAGTTAACGTGGCCTTTGACCCGCATGAAAAGGGTTAAGAACAAAATACCTTTAAGATTTAAATACCTTAAAAACCAAAAGTGTGAATAATAATATAGATTAAATAATATAAAATCCCAATAAAAAGATTTTAGAATTAACTTGATTGTTTTAGAAAGTACAGATATTAAATGAATAAAAGTTAGATAATTCCGAAAATAATATTATCTCTAATTAATTTACTGAAGCTCTTTTTTATAAACGTACCAATGGATTTCCTTTTGTGTCAGTGTCTTTCTTGGTTCTTCGAAGCAAAAGGCTCTTCACAAGTGTGTTAAGTCTGGTACTTCCCTGAACTAATAATCAACCACATTTCAATTTGTTTATGATGAACAAATATAAAAGAACAAAGTTTTGATATTTCCTTTCCACTACTTAACAAAAAAGTAAAATCCTACAGCACACTTTGACCACTTAGCTAATAATTAAGCACAAAAGAAAAATTCATACAAGTTTGTTCTTTTAGCTGATGATAAAACATAGTTGAAGAAGTATTAAGGTAATTTGCTCATAAGTTCATAATTATAAGAGAAAACTGTTCATGTACAGTTCATAGCTTATGAACAAACATATTCCAAAAAGTACAGTTTGTATTCTGTATTTTAATAGAATAAATTAATAACAATACACACAGAGTGCATTTTATTATTAAATGGTAAACTCATAAACAAACTCAGTATAAAATAGATGAAAAAACAGAGAAGCAATATGATTAACCAAAACCAAACTTTTCTGTAGCTTTCCTTGTTCTAAGAGGTTGAGGTCAGTAATCCATCAACTTGTCATAAGTACTAGTGCATTCATCTTGTTTCCAGGCAATGCTCTTACATAACTATGCTTCTGACCTTGTTTACTGGTTCTCAAGCTCATTTCACAAGCTTATTTTGTAACACAAGCGTCTTCTTGTCGCCTCTTTTTTATATATCCTTGGCTATGTTCCAGCAGATTTTCATCTGCTAACCATGAATTTCAAAGATATTTGACATTTTGTATTTGAGATGTAAAGATGTAATCACATTGGCATTGTGATTTTCATTTGTTATTGTGTGTGTGTGTTTCCCAAAAAATAAATTTATAATGTACTTATATTATGAATCATCCTTTACATTATGAATAATTGTTGTTGTTTTTTGCACGTATTTTCTAGTGTAAATGAAAATTTGATAAGTATTTTATCCTATGTTCATTTTATCGGAGCTTACAATAATCAATCTATTCTAGGACCAGAGTCCGATTTAGGAACGCTCGTGAAC